CGGGCAGCGATAGCTTCAAGGAGGCTTCGAGGAGGCAGGGCGGAGGAGCGGAGGCTGCTGCAGCCATCTGCCTTCCCAGCGCCCTCCCTGAAAGCATGGGAGCACAGGCAAGAACAGTGATGCATGCCCCGAACACCGTCCTTCCACATCTTTGGTGAGCCAGCAAATGCCTCTCCGTACCTGCGGGCACCAGAGGGATGCCCCTGGTGTACTTGTACCTCCTGGTCCACGCAGGACCACGGAGGGAGGTGAGGACAGCGCGGGTCTCCAGCCGATCCCACCGTCTGCACATTGCAGATGTATTTGCTGTCGTCCCACAAGATCTTATCTCCCTGCATCCCGGCTGAGGAGCATCACCCGCTCCTGGGGATCCCCTCCACCGCCCTGCTGCTGTGATGACTGCTTGTTTTCCATCAGGTAGCAAATACTCTTCCTTTTGCTCATCTGTGCTGTCATGTTGACAGTATTTAATAGGTTGTGATCATATCTGTGCTTGATTCTCCTCTCAGTCTCTCCCCATGTACCTTATCAGTTCTACTTATCATTTTAATGCACTTCTTGGTATTTTTCCTGGGGCTTCTTCAAGCCCCATTCCTTACCTCTGAGGATGCAAACATGTTTCACAGCTACGCTAAATCTCGGCTGTAGGAAAAGCTTCACTGTTTACCTGCAATACACCCCTTGTCAAACTCTGATCTTCTTATAGCTAATCAGCTTACCCAGCCAGGCTGGCGCTCAGACAAGAAACCTGCCTGGAAACCTCTGCAGAATTCAGTCATGGCAAGAGTTCAGCACGGATGAAAGCCTGAAACAGGGAAAACAAGACCCAGGCAGCAGGTTCCAGTGATCTCATTTCGAAATGAATTAAATTTGATCTCATTCTGAAATGTGAACTGCTTCGCTCCATGTCATTTTGCTTCACACAACCATTTCAGCTATTTCAACAACTATTGCAATTCACGTCAGATACCCCCTGCCCTGGTCCAACAGGTAAAATTATTTATGAATACATTGTGTGCAACCGGGTTCAAATCCCTGTGTGCAAGCAGTGGATGATTTGCACCTACTCACTTCTCAATAAGAGATTTAAAGCAGTTTTGAAACCTGCTTGTGTACAAGTCCATTACCCTGCTATGGACAGGACCCCCCGCTGAGGCAAACCACGGCGGGTCACCCCAGCAGCCCCTCGAGCCCCTTTCTTCGTCTCTTCTGGAGGGAACTGGGAAGGAAACCACGGCTGCTGCTGTCGGCTGCCCCTCTGGCTTCACCCCTCACGCAGTAAGGAGGGAATGCACTTGGACCAGGCCTTTTCACGCTGGCAGAGTCAGTTTGACATTAACTTTTATGTTTTATACATAAATCAGTTTGAATGGCTTTCTTAAAAACTGGATCAAATTGCACTCATTTACTGGAAACTATCGCAAGGCGTTCTCACTCACGACCTGAGGCTCTCCCCTTGTCCTGCAGGTTTATTTCTGCACCTTCTCCCCGGCTGAGACATCTGGCGAGTCGGATCTCCTGATCCCCCGGAGCTCCCCATCCTTCGGCTCGGCTCTCCTGCAGCCTCCAGCCCGGTGCCCCAGCACACCCAACCCCGCTCAACACACGCCTTCATCAAGGCTGTACCAAATAACCCTTGTTTCTTTGTACAAAATAGCGCAGGCATAGATCCTACCTTCCCTAAAACCTGAACTAATGCTGTTCTTCAGCTGGTCTTGCTGTTAACAACCATTCCCTGCTGGAAAACGAGTTTCTACACCATGATATTTTTACTTAAATGGGAAGCAATATATTTTCTTTATGCTTATGCATGGCACCATACCAACTGGCTTTCTGAAATCCGAGTATACTGTATCTAATTGCATAACCTTTAGCTGTTGCATCAGTAACTACGGCAAAGAAGGCTACTGAATTGGCTGGCTTGACCTTACCGGTTGCAATAGTTCTGACTCTAGTCATAACTAACCAGATGCGTGAGTAGTCCGGATTTCTTGTTCTCTGTGGATCCGTGAAATGACTCACAAATGTCTCCTGGCCACTTCCAGCTCTTTGACTATGGGCTTCACACATACCAGCAATTTTTAGTTAACTAGGTCTATGACCTGTGATTTCTCTTTCCATCTTTACCCCAATGAGAGCTCATGCTTTGAAGGCTTTTGATAGCGTAACTATTCCACTCCTGATACAATCTAAATCCCTGCTGTTGCCAGAAGGGATGGCCCCACTCTCTCCGCTCCTGCCTGTGTCCCCAGCCCGGTCGTCCTTTACCGTCCCCTGCCTCACCACCAGCACTTATGCACCTGGAGGCCCTTTGCCAGCGGAGCAGACTTCGATCGGCTCAGGAAGAAGAACTGCACCCTTATACTGGATACCCGTCTTCCATTAGGATCCCATCTTGGGCCATAAAAGACCATTTCTTTTAGTGGCAACAGCAGTTGAAGCAGCCTCACTGTCTTGTATCCCACTGCTCTGCATCCCCATCCCCAGCTGGCCCCACGGACACACACCTGCATGGCTCACACCGAACGCAATCTAGATTAAAAGTAACCATTTCTGGTCAAGCTATTTTTTAATTCACGTCAGTGCCGTAAGGCTGACAAGCTGCACGGTGGCACGAACTGAGAGGCTGCCGGGGCCATGCCACGGCTCCTAAGCTGGACCGCC